CTCATAGACTGTAAAAATAAGATGGATCAACTATAATATCTTCTACGATTTATATTTTGATGATATTTGCGCTTGAATATGACAACTTCCGGTTTCATAAAACGAATATTGGGTCGTTTTTCGTTTTTGTCTTAATTTGTTTTTGTTTATTCACTATACAATGCAAACATGAAAATCAGCTTTATTTTGAAAAATTAAATTTCATTCACTTGGATATAAAAAGAAAAATGGCTGTTTTTTCATTTGTGGTTTTTTGATTTGCAAACGAAAATAGAAAAACGACTTGTTTTTCTATTTATTATTTTCATTTCAGTGAAGAAAATCCAAATACCCACAAGTACACTGACCCTAAAAAATGCCCCATTGTGTATTTCTACCTTCAACTCAGACTCATTCAAGGTGCTAAAACCTGTCAAAACTGCATAAATTACTTACTTTTATCCAAAATGAATGGAAAGCTAAAATTGTTGATTTGAACGGGAGCTGTCAAAATGACTGTTCTGGTAGTTTCAGAATTCTGGGAGTCAGAGTATTAAAGGAGACGTATAATGAAAATCAAATGTGAAAAAAAAAAAAAAAGTTGTTTTTGGTTGCATCCACGCTGATATCAAGAACTTATGACTGCTCATAGCACACACCTGTAACTCCGCCCCTTCTGTATAATATGTCTCGGTCCCGTATGATGCCATTACACCACTATGACATCATTCTCAGAGCGTTTCACTGCCTTTTAATTTAAAAGTAGTGCCCTTAAATTAGTTTTGGAAATGTCTCAAGTTAAATTAGGTTTTTTCTTGTTTTGCCATAATTATCTATTTAATTACTATTTCACTGTGCAAAACATTAAATGCCAAAGTCAATAGTCTCATGATTTTTAATAAACAAAAAATAAAAGAACATATTGCACTGCTTGTATTACTAAAGCTCCACCAAACCAGAAACCACAAACAAAACCAAATAGAGAGAACTGTAAACACACTTTTTTCTTGTCAAACTGGAGATTCTGCCTTTGTCGTTATTTGTGTCTAGTGAGCTGTTTTGGACTTGCTCCAACACTTTCTATAGTCCTATAATCCACGTCTTTGTGACCGAGACTTTATTATTTCTCTCTCGTGCTCATAAAAGTCATAAACAAAGTGTGTGTCCATCGGTGCATTTCGTGGATCAGTGTGAAGGCTGAGTATGCATGGACAGCCTTTATTACAGAAAGCCCATCACACACACACACACACACACACACACACACACACACACACACACACACACACACACACACACACACACACACACACACACACACACACACACACACACACACACACACACACACACACACACACACACACACACACACACACACACACACACACACATCCCCAAATGCAGAGATGGTTGTAGCCTCTCATTAATTCTGCTGGCTCTGTCCACCTCGGTGAGTAAAACTGTTATTTCTGCCTTTATGGGGTTTACTCAGCGCCTCAGGGCTGGTTTTTACTAGACTCAAGTGAGATGGATGAAGTCTGAGTGATGCGGCGTCATCCTCAGAGGTCAGATGACTTCACGACCCCAGCGCTTCTGAATTATCATGATGACGACTGCGGTGAAACTCCAAGTAGCATTTCTGACTTTATGATTAAACAAAATGCTATGTTTTTCAATAAGTAAGAAATCGCTCGCTGCCATGGATCTTATATTTTTGTGCCAGCCTGTCGTTTCTAACTCTGTGACGGCCATACAGTGACTTGCAAAAGTAATCATCCCCCTTGGCCCCTTTTTTCTTAGTCCCGTTACCTTTAGAAGTTTTTGATGACTGATAAAATTATGAGAATGCCTCTTCTTTGATTGATGCCTTTATGATTTGTGTTGGTTAAGAGGACATTATCTTGTAGTTGGGACATCTTTATGGATTTAAATTGTCATTGCCATCTGTCGAGAGTTATCAGGCCTTTAAATAATTAAAATAAAGAAAATTACATTAAAAAAGTATTAAGTAGAGTCCACCAAAGTGTTATCTATCTAATCCGTGTCAGAGTTTGTTTGTCCCGTGTTGGCGGCTGCTCTTCTGTTTTTTCATTTATTGATCTAATCTCTGTATAAGCACAGCACTGTTCTGTGATGACAGAACAGTTTTAATACACTAACATTGGTCACTAAACAGCATCTAGAGAGGTCAAGGATGAAGTTTCTATTATGGTTAGGTTATACAAACATTTCTCGTGCTTTGAACATCTCACAGAGCCCTGTTTAATCCATTATCCGGTAATGGAAGGAGTATATCAACTGCAAACCTACCAAGACACGGCGGTCTGCACAAACTGGCTGAACAAAGACAACATTCATCAAACAGGCAGACGAGATAGATTAATTCACAATAAAAATAAATATACTGCCTCTAAAATTGTATAAAATATTTGAGTTCAAAGACATGAGCCAAAATGTACATAAACGCATTTAGTCACTTCCACCTCCACCCAAACTGGGGCCAAATCTAAAAACTGGAGTTCTCAAATGTGATGGGTCTGAGCTGTTTTACAAAATTGGGATGTTCAGTCCTGAGATGCAAAACTTGAATTTGAAATACTCAAAGAGAAATGTTGAACTTATTTCCTCAAAGTATTAACTCTTAAAGTCTCGGAAGCTCAATAGCGTTTTTGGTCATTTCGCAAAAGACCGCAGCCCTGCAGGAACAAGAACAAGTTTGCCCTCTGCTTTCGGGGCCTGAATATGATGAATGAGACCAAAGAGGGTTTAAGTCTCTCATCCATGCGATACACATCTAATCCGTTGGGTTTGGGGAAGCTTTGTAGTAGTCTGTGAAGAAATCCCCCATAACACAATTGAAACACACTTGTGACTGTACAAAGAGATTCTCATAAAAAGTTCACTATTCCCAAACTTAAGTCATTTTCTGAGTCTCAATTTGAAAGTATGATGCGATTCCCAAAAGCACATATGGTAATGCTGACCCAGAAAACTCCGGTTAGATCAGGGACACCTGATTTGTAATTTCAGACAAAATTAGGAGTGAGTGGAATATTCTATTGTCTAATTATCTCAAAAATGGTCAGATTCCGTGCCAATAACCCTCTACAACTGAGAGATATTATATTGTTTTCATTTTGCAACAGCACACACTTCCCACATAACTTTAATGCCTGATGTGAGGAACTTCAGCTGTGTGCGTCCATACTGTTCCAAAACACAACTATACCGTCATTAAACATTCATTTCCTGTCATCATGGAGCACAATATGACACTGAACCGTGCTCTGGCTCTGTGAGTGTGATGTTAGCTCCATGATTTCCAAGTTTGAGCAATGTGACAATTAAAAATTCACGATGGGCATATTTTAGGAGTGGCTTTCTGTATTTTTAGACTCAAACAGGATTACTTTAATATTTATGTTGGGAGAAAGGTTATATGCCTGGAAGTCTTGTATGGTGCCGTGGTATGTTTGAATTAAATAGTAAAGTGTGAACTTTGGGGACAATAACCAGATTACTCAGAAAAGAAAAATATAGAGAATTGTAACAAACTGTATGTCAAGGCTTATTTTGTGATGTGTTCTTTGAATGAGGGACTTGCCTGATATTGGCTTCCTTTCTATCAAGCACTATAAATCATTGCAAGAAGAAGGATTTATACAGCACAGATGAAAGCGCAAAATATATGTTGTTTATTAGGGGTGTGCTAAAAATATATTTTTAGACATATATGGATTTTCTTTCTAATTGAAATATTTTTTTGATTTAGTAGTATAGATTTTTTTAGATCCCCTTTTTTCATAGTTTTTTTTAATATATATAAAATGTGTTTGTGTAAACATATAAATAGATTTTGTTTTTTATTAACCATTAATCTTCACTACATGATATCAGTAGTGTTGTAGTGTGAAAAGTGGATGGAGTGTTAAATGAGGAACCAAAAGCCTTTAATTTGTACTATGAATGTTGTATCGTTAAGAATAATATTGTATGGATTAGAAAGTCCCCTGTATTTTGATAGAAATCGTATTGTGTCAAGATCAGTATCGGCAGGCTCTGATAAATACCCAGCACTAGTGGAAACATATTTGTAAATGGTCCTCTCTTTTTCACTTTTCTGTTAAAAGCTGATCTAAATAATTGACAGAGACAGAAATATACATGCATGTAAATGAAATAGTTTCAGAGAGTGGAAGTAAATGTGGTTTGTAGTATTCTCTAAGAGGCTGTTTCTCAAATGTATAGAAGGTTCTGAAAGACATCACATCACTTCAATGCATAATATTTGTTTATTTCTTTTGTTTCTGATTCTTTCCTTCTGGTCCTTCGTAAAAAACACCTTGTATTCCGCAGAGTGAGTGAAATATTTGATTTGATTCCATTTGATTGTCTAAGTGCTTGAGTCCCAGTCAATTTTATAGGGAATAGGTTGGTGAAAAAAAGTTATTTTTTATATTTGTTTTAGTTTGAGTTCAGGTTTGGGTCAGATTTCTATAGAACGCCGTTCCCATAACTTGACCCAAACCAAAGGCCAGATTCCCCCACTCAAACAAAGAAATGAATTGCAATTGCAATGAATTGTAATAGTTCCTTCAACCCAGGATGAAATTCGAAGCGCTTTCTCAATTAGGAAAGACTTCTTAGCAACAAGGCATCGGACAAGGAAAACATAAGAAGATGGAGACCAGACAACAGGTTAATAACATTTCACACGCTCCTACAATTGCCCAAAGTTTTTTTCTTCCAAGAGATATCTTCTCGTCTGCCATTAAAACTTTGTTTAAGTCTGGTTCCTGCACTTGTTTAAATATTTCTTCAAGTATGTCGTCATCAATTGCCATTTGTGCGATTTCATCCAGAGTCTCCTGCTCAAGAATCTTCTGTCTCCCATCTCCCACCTTCTGTTCAAAAGCCTTTCTTTCCAAGGGCTTAGTGGGTGCTGTACACTCTGCACGAATTATATCGAAACGTCCACTAAGTTCCTGATGTTGTCTTTCCCATTCTATCATTAGTACCTCAAAGTCTTCCTCAGGATTCACTCGCTTTGGCAAATCCGACTGTGTCACTCTTGCATTCTCCTCCAGTGGAATGTGTTGGTGTAGATCCTCCATGATGTTAACTTCAGTAGGTTCCTTCATGATGGTAACTTCAGTAGGTCCCTCCATGATGGTAACTTCTGTAGGTCCCTCCATGATGTTAACTTCTGTAGGTCCCTCCATGATGGTAACTTCAGTAGGTTCCTTCATGATGGTACGTTCTGTAGGTCCCTCCATGATGGTAACTTCTGTAGGTCCCTCCATGATGTTAACTTCAGTAGGTTCCTTCATGATGGTAACTTCTGTAGGTCCCTCCATGATGTTAACTTCTGTAGGTCCCTCCATGATGGTAACTTCTGTAGGTCCCTCCATGATGTTAACTTCAGTAGGTTCCTTCATGATGGTAACTTCTGTAGGTCCCTCCATGATGTTAACTTCTGTAGGTCCCTCCATGATGGTAACTTCAGTAGGTCCCTCCATGATGTTAACTTCTGCAGGTTCCTTCATGATGTTACCTTCAGTAGGTTCCTTCATGATGTTAACTTCTGCAAGTTCCTTCATGATGTTAACTTCTGCAGGTTCCTTCATGATGTTAACTTCTGCAGGTTCCTTCATGATGTTAACTTCTGTAGGTCCCTCCATGATGGTAACTTCTGTAGGTCCCTCCATGATGGTAACTTCTGTAGGTCCCTCCATGATGTTAACTTCTGCAGGTTCCTCCATGATGTTAACTTCTGCAGGTTCCTTCATGATGGTAACTTCTGGCAGAGCACGGAACTTTTGATCCCATAACTCTTCCATCCTCGTGGTCAATCTATCAACGCGTTCACGAAGTTTCATAATTTATTTTTGCCACTTCTTCAACTGTTTCCTCAACACAAAAATTTCAGTTGATTTGCTGCCGAGTAAACAGATCCGGTCGTCATGGTAACCCACATTAGCACAGTTTAAATTATACGGCTTACTGTTTTTGAATACTGTTTTTGTTTACTTTTGATTCAACACAGGAGCGTGTCAAACAAACAAGCTCAAGACTTCAAGAAACAATTGTCACTAACCCATCAACAAAAACAGCTTCAATACAAGATCACTTAAGTGCTTTCTTAAAACTGTGCAGACAAGTTCATCTTCAATCAGTCTGTGTGTTTGTGCAATGTTTGGAGTTCAGATATTCTTCCATCCTCTACACCCACAGTGATGACAGAAGCGAGACGCCGAACACATCGGCGTATCAAAGCCCCCAACTATGCACCGTTACCAATGTTGGTATTGGGTCGATACCATAATCTTGAACTTGTACTCATACCTGAAGACCCGAACCGGGCAACCGATACCCACATTTTTAAGTTGTCAATGGGGGCCATGTACATGTCTGTCTGTGTGTCTGTGTGCTTATACTGTATGTGTGTGTCACCTGCAGAAGTTCTCTGACAACTCCGCCATCGTGGCCTGTGTGTCTGAGGGGAACGAGTTGGAACACCGGTCGGTTATCAGACTTTGTCGACTGGTGTGAGCAAAACCACTTGTGCTTGAACACCAGTAAGACCAAGGAGATGGTCATCGACTTCAGGAGAAAGCTACTTTTCCATATGCCGTTGAACATCCAGGAGGAGGACATTCAGCTGGTGGACACCTTCAAGTACCTGGGTGTTCACATTAACAATAAACTAGACTGGTCCCATAATACCATCGCTTCAGCTGCGGTCTTTCGGAGTGAGCAGGCCTCTGCTCAGGACTGTTTATGACTCTATGGTAGATTCTGCCATGGGCTGAACCCCGGGCAGCACAGAGCGGGTCAGGAGCAGACATGCTCCGCCCTGGGCTGCACCCTGGACTCTGGAGGAGGTGAGGGACAGGAGGGTAATAGCCAAAGTCACCTCCATCAGGGGCAACACCTCCCACCCAGTAGGGTTGGGCGATATTTTTTTTGTACCGGTATACCGGTATAAGTAAATTAAATGTTAAGAAAATGCCTTATACCGGTGAAAACGATCTTTTAACACTGAAAACGGCAAGCAGAAGACACGTTTGTATGCGGCGCACTTTGATGACGCATCTGCGCGGCACGTGTAGCAGAGCGGCGTGCAGGGACAACAACAACAGAGCAGAGAGCAAACATGGCTGAGGGCGGCGGTGAAGACCATGGTGAAGACATGCAGATTGTAGAAGACATTGCGCCAAAACGCAGAGCTACCTCAAACATATGGGAGTAGTTTGGGAACTAGATAAAAAGAAGCAATTGTGTGTAACTATCGACAGTGGATCTAATGTTGTGAAAGCAGCTGCAACAACTGGACTCGAGTGGCTTGCTTCGGACACTCTCTCTCTCTCTCTCTCTCTCTCTCTCTCTCTCTCATAGTGCCATTGGTAAGCTTTATTTACTGTTTACTGTCATTTATTTTACTTCAATGCATGTGTTGGTCTACATTGCAATATAATTACAAATAAGTTATAATTACATAATTATAGAAACGCAAAAGGATACAAAAAATATATACAGTATTTGATCATTTTGACTATATTGGAATTAGGAAACATAAGCCAAAGTGATCAAATAATTATTTGATAATGCTACACTTTTTATATTACAAAGGACAAACTTTTATATATTTTACAAATTACAAATGTTCACCTTTCTTACATGTTGCCTGCAATTTTCAGTATGTACAAAACAGAATTCTCTACAATTCAGTTTTGTTAATACGTTTTATATACAATAGCTGTATTGCACATTTTGCTGCCAATAAATCAGTAAATGCACTTTGAGGCAAGTGTGTTTAAAATTATCAGTGCTAAGTTTTTATAGCTTTTATATGAGGCTTTGTTAAAATTATCATAATGTGATACATACCAACAAAAATCGTGATACATGCTGAGGCCCATATCGCCCAACCCTACCACCCAGTGCACATTACTGTATAGGAGCTGAGGCGCTTCTTCACTACATGATATCAGTAGTGTTGTATTTTTGTGTGAAAAGGGGATGGAGTGTTAAATGAGGAACCAATAGCCTTTAATTTGTACTATGAATCTTGTATCGTTAAGAATAGTATTGTATGGATTAGAAAGTCCCCTGTATTTTAATAGAAATCGTATTGTGTCAAGACCAGTATCGGCAGGCTCTGATAAATACCCGCACTAGTGGAAAAACATTTGTAAACGGTCCTCTCTTTTTCAATTTTCTGTTAAAAGCTGATCTAAAGACTTGACAGAGACAGAAATATACATGCATGCAAATGAAATAGTTTCAGAGGGTGGAAGTAAATGTGGTTTGTAGTATTCACTAAGAGGCTGTTTCTCAAATGTATAGAAGGTTCTGAAAGACATTACTATCACTTCAATGCATAATATTTGTTTATTTCTTTTGTTGCTTATTCTTTCCTTCTGGTCCTTGAGTGGGAAAGACTTCTTAGCAACAAGGCCTCAGACAAGGAAGACATAAGACGATGGAGACCAGACATTGCCCAATGTTTTTTTCTTCTAAGAGATATCTTCTCGTCTGCCATTAAAACTTTGTTTAAGTCTGGTTCCTGCACTTGTTTAAATATTTCTTCAAGTATGTCGTCATCAATCGCCATTTGTGCGATTTCATCCAGAGTCTCCTGCTCAAGAATCTTCTGTCTCCCATCTCCCACCTTCTGTTCAAAAGCCTTTCTTTCCAAAGGCTTAGTGGGTGCTGTACACTCTGCACGAATTATATCGAAACGTCCACTAAGTTCCTGATGTTGTCTTTCCCATTCTATCATTAGTACCTCAAAGTCTTCCTCAGGATTCACTCGCTTTGGCAAATCCGACTGTGTCACTCTTGCATTCTCCTCCAGTGGAATGTGTTGGTGTAGATCCTCCATGATGTTAACTTCAGTAGGTTCCTTCATGATGTTAACTTCAGTAGGTCCCTCCATGATGGTAACTTCAGTAGGTTCCTTCATGATGGTAACTTCTGTAGGTCCCTCCATGATGGTAACTTCAGTAGGTTCCTTCATGATGGTACGTTCTGTAGGTCCCTCCATGATGGTAACTTCAGTAGGTTCCTTCATGATGGTAACTTCTGTAGGTTCCTTCATGATGGTAACTTCAGTAGGTTCCTTCATGATGTTAACTTCAGTAGGTCCCTCCATGATGGTAACTTCAGTAGGTTCCTTCATGATGGTAACTTCTGTAGGTTCCTTCATGATGGTAACTTCAGTAGGTTCCTTCATGATGTTAACTTCAGTAGGTCCCTCCATGATGTTAACTTCTGTAGGTTCCTTCATGATGTTAACTTCTGTAGGTTCCTTCATGATGGTAACTTCTGTAGGTTCCTTCATGATGGTAACTTCAGTAGGTTCCTTCATGATGTTAACTTCAGTAGGTTCCTTCATGATGTTAACTTCAGTAGGTCCCTCCATGATGGTAACTTCAGTAGGTTCCTTCATGATGGTAACTTCTGTAGGTTCCTTCATGATGGTAACTTCAGTAGGTTCCTTCATGATGTTAACTTCAGTAGGTCCCTCCAGGATGTTAACTTCTGTAGGTTCCTTCATGATGTTAACTTCTGTAGGTTCCTTCATGATGGTAACTTCTGTAGGTTCCTTCATGATGGTAACTTCAGTAGGTTCCTTCATGATGTTAACTTCAGTAGGTCCCTCCATGATGTTAACTTCAGTAGGTCCCTCCATGATGGTAACTTCTGTAGGTTCCTTCATGATGTTAACTTCTGTCGGTTCCTTCATGATGGTAACTTCTGGCAGAGCATGGTACTTTCGTTCCCATAGCTTAGTGGTGTCTTCCATCCTCGTGGTCATACTATCAACGCGTTCACGAAGTTTCATGATTTCCTTTTGCCACTTCGTCACCTGTTCCCTCAACGCAACTATTTCAGTTGATGTGGTCTTGTCGATTGCAGTGTTCTCAATTGAAGCTAAGTTATTTGCAATAGTCTCCCCACCATTTATGGTTTTATTGGATTCGACCAATTCATAATTATTTTGAGAAGGCAGTTTGTCAATATCCAGCACAGCAAACTGTGACATCAGTCCTTCCACTTCTGAGGAAGCCTCAGTTTTTGTCTGAGGAACTGTCGCCTCTTGTCTCAGTGATGCTACATAGAGAAACATTCCTGATTTAAGAATGGGCTTATTCAGTGGCTGGCTCGTCTCAGGAATCTTCTGCACGGTCTGAGGTGATTTAGTATCAGAGCTACTGTCGCTGTTACTTTCATCACTATCCAAGTTTTGATCCTGAAGCTCTAACCAGGTCTCAACAATCTCCTCGACTGGTTTGTAGTCGCGGACACACCCAGAGACAAAATCATACCTCCTAGCCTCATCTTGTAATGTAGAGCAGGAAGGAACTGCTGGCTCTACGCTTGTGACTGGATTGGATTGAACGGGAGCGGCGGGAAGACACATCATTGCAGCAATTTCTGTCTTCAGATCAAAGATCTGCCCTTCGATCTGCTCCACCTCCTCAGTGACCACTTTACATCTGTCCCCCAACTGATTATCTCCTATTAAATCTTCCATGTTGTTATTGTTAAGCCCCTCCATCTATTAGTACATTGTAATAAACTAGATGTTAATACTAAATACTCCTAAAGAGTCATCCTTCTGGTCAGGGGCTTTCTCAAAATGTGCCCACATCTGCGAACAGATGGACAGATGTTCTGAAGCATAGAGAGAAGTCCAAGTCCAATCCCTTTGAGACTTCAACATGTTCTAAATGACATCACCCCCGGCGACCAGAAGCCTTGTTGCCGGGTGATACCATCTAGAACATGATGAAGATGTGGCGCTGCCGAGCCATATATGGTCGCAAACAGATCCGGTCGTCATGGTAACCCACAGTAGCACAGTTCAAATTATACTGCTTACTGTTTTTGAATACCGTTTTTGTTTACTTTTATTCAACACAGGAGAGTGTCAAACAAACAAGGTCAAGACTTCAAGAAACAATTGTCACTAAAACCAATCAACAAAAACAGCTTCAATACATGATCATTTAAGTGCTTTGTTAAAACTGTGCAGACAAGTTCGTCTTCAATCAGTGCAATGTTTGGAGTTCAGATATTCTTCCATTTTCTACACACACATTGATGACAGAAGTGGCGTAACAAGCCCCCAACTATGCACCGTTACCAATATTGGTATTGGGTCGATACCATAGGCTTGTACTCGTACTCATACTCAAACATTAGGACCCGAACCGGGCAACCGATACCCACATTTTTAAGTTGCCAATGGGGGCCATGTATGTCTGTGTGTGTCTGTGTGCTTGTATGTGTGTGTCACCTGCAGTTCTCTGACGACTCCGCTATTGTGGGCTGTGTGTCTGAGGGGAACGAGTTGGAACACCGGCCGGTTATCACAGACTTTGTCGACTGGTGTGAGCGCAACCACTTGAGCTTGAACACCAGTAAGACCAAGGAGATGGTCATCGACTTCAGGAGAAAGCTACTTTTCCATATGCCGCTGAACATCCAGGAGGAAGACTTTGAGCTGGTGGACAGCTTCAAGTACCTGGGTGTTCCCATTAACAATAAACTGTACTGGTCCCATAATACCAACGCCCTGCACAAGAAGGGCCAAAGTCGCCTCTTCCTTCTGAGGAGGCTGCGGTCTTTCGGAGTGAGCAGGCCTCTGCTCAAGACTTTTCATAACTCTGTGGTAGCTTCTGCTGCTGCGCGGCTGAGGGCTGGGCCCCGGGCAGCACAGAGCGGGACAGGAGTAGACAAGCTCCGCCCTGGACTGCACCCTGGACTCTGGAGGAGGTGAGGGACAGGAGGGTAATAGCCAAAGTCACTTCCATCAGGGACAACACCTCCCACCCAGTGCAGTGAAGAACCAGCACTGCTATTGCCACTTTTTTATTGCACATAATTATATCCTGCACAGAGTATATTTTTAACCTTACCCTAACCCTAACATGTTGCACAACTTAGGTCTTTTTGCACACTCTGAGTGAGTCTATCTATGCCAAATTTCTCCATTGTGAGATCAAAAGTTCATCTTATCTTATGTGAGTGTGTGTGTGTGTGTGTTGGTGTCTCTGCGTATGTGTGTTTATGTTTAAGATTAAGATTTATTTGTGCCACGTGGGGAATAGTAATAATGAGGAGCACACAAGATACCTATGTGTGTATCTATACAGTACGTGTTATTGTGTCATTTGGCTGTGACCTTTTTTCAATATCCTGATGTAACATGGCAAACACATTCTATAAATTGTATCTATTTTTGCTCCAGACATCTTGGATATTTTAAGATACTCAGTGGACAGTGAATCCGGAGGCAAGCTGTTTGGAGACGAGGCTGAATACAAGGGCACTTTCCAAAGCACCACGGGACCATGCAAGCTGCCTGCATATCTGCTCATTACACACTGCTGTTAATCTTTTATCTCCAGTAATGCGGCAAGAGAGAGATTTATGTCGGTGTTTTCATATAACAACAGCAATTTATGACCAAATATGAGTCTCCTCTTGAAACATAAGCCAACACACAATGAATATATATATGCCAATTTGCGGTTAGGAAAAAAGAACTATAGTTTTAATTTCCCACAAGCATTTCTTCCTTTGAGAGTCACAATCACAAATCAACGGCGCATCAAGTCACAGCTATAGAGCGTTATGCCAATATTCCTGTGACGAAAGTGATTTGAGAAATGTCAGACGACTTTTTTAGAACAATAACAATTCCTATTCTTTAAGTCATTTGAAGCAACGACAACACTGCTTGAAGACATCTTAGATCCTGTCAAAAGTTTACTTCCAGGAATGGGGAGCAGACCTATTTGTAAGCTGCTTTCATTTGTGTGTGTACATTACTCACGGCAAGAAATCTCATTGTTAGTTTATAAAGATGTTGAGAGAATGATTTATGCTTTTCTCAAACAACAGTTCCTGGCTCGGTGTCCTCCTCTTTCCGTTCAACACATCTCTGTATACGTGTCCTCCGCCCCTTCACGCTGCCCTGACAGCTTTGTCACAAAGATGAATTCATCGTCAGCACTGCAGCCAAAACAAGTAATTTGATTGCCCCAACCACAAATTAAGTTAGTGTGATTCAATTTTCCATTTGGGCCTCTCCTGCAGCCATACATCAAGGGAGACATATTTCATTACAAAGCGAAACAGAGGCCGAGCTGGTGGCCGGCCCGCTCCGTGTGCAAACATCATAGGAGCATTACGGCAGTTACTCAATAGCCCCGTAGGACGCTGAGGCCGTGTGGCGTTTAGGACACTGGCGTTCTTGTTAACTGCGGGATGCTGAGACCCTGAATGCCTCGTTCAGGATGGCCGCATGCTAAGCAGAGACAATGAGCTGGCTCCGGCCTCTCCCTGTCACCTCGAACTCACAGCTCTGATGACAAGGTGCTGCGGCCGATTAGCATAACGCTGTGCTCAAAATGCAGCAGGGTCACCCAAGGACGCCGTCATTAACACAGGTTTGCGCCTGAAACACATTCAAATGATGATGGCTCACGTTTCGTTGTCTTGGAATAATGTAATCACTCAGAGTCATGGAGTATGATGTGGAATGTGTTGCAAGTGTAATTAGTGCAGTCAGATGCTATTCCCGTCTCGAGTGGTGTAATTATTAGGGTTATCTGCAAATTGTCATGTTTGATATAAATCAAAGAGTTTGGAGAAGCCCGGGGACCGGATACTAAAGATAAAGATCTTTAATTGCTGTGCAGAAACTCGCTCTGATAACAATAAACTTGTCTCTTTATTATTATGGAAATTCTTGCTGTGGCTTTGTTGAGGCTGTTTTATTTTCATTTGTGGTTCGTGAAGAGTTTGTAAAGCCATGTTTGTATACCCATAGCCATGCCTGCAGTTCAAGGCCAGCTAAGCAGTGCAGGGCCTGGTTAGTACTGTGATGGGAGACCTTTGGGAACCCCATGGTGCCACAGTGGGGCAAACTGTCGTGGTGTCCCTATGCAAGACACTTCACCCACTTGCCTAGAATGAGTCTGGTGTGTGTGTGTGTGAATGGTTGGTGGCGGTGGGAGGGGCAGATGGCACATACTGGTTGCCTCTCTTCTGTCAGTGTGACCCAGGGCAGCTGTGGCTAGTAGTACAGTATAGTTTATCACCACCGTGTATGGAGTGAAATGTGTGTGTCCAAAAAGGCACTGTAAGTTAATCTTTATTGAAGGGACAGTTTACAGAGACATTAAGCTCATAGAGACAGACAGTTCTGGACCAGATTACAGCTAGATATAAAACTGCTATATAAAACTGATGCCGTATTATCATTATCAATGTGTTGTGTGAGTGAACGCACCGGCTGAGACAGTGATTTAAAGTTCCAACTTCTGTCCCCGATGATCAAACTAAATCCACTTCACGGTGCATTGTTATAGTTCGCTAAACTGCTTTGTGGACATTGTGCTCCGTGACGGACTTCCAGCAGCACTATTCACCCATGATCTCTGTCAGCTTTCTAATTAAACTGCTCGTCGACTTTGCAAGCCCAGTTTGAACGCCGTGAAGTAATTTAGCTGGAGCTGTAGAAATCTTGTCCAAAAACATTAGCTTTTTTAAAGAGTACGTATCGACAGTGGACTTTGTGCCAATGTAGAAGGATGTAGTACAAATTACCCTGATGTAGTATTAATGCATTACAAGCCAGAAAAAGTCTATAGTAATGGGCGATTTGTAACAACCAGTTTTGCTTCACTAAGTTGAGAATTTTGGTTTGCAGCAGACAAAATGCACAAAAAGGATTTTTGTCTTTTCTCATTCGCTATTTGGGGAGAAAACCGATGCTCTTTCCAAATCATCCATTTGACAAAGAGGGATTCAGATGGCTCATTGCTGTTAAATTTAAAGGGGCATTATTGGCGGCACGGTGGCTGAGTGGATAGCACTCTCGCCTCTCAGCAAGAAGGTCCTGGGTTCGAATCCCGGTTGGACCAGGGCCTTTCTGAGTGGAGTTTGCATGTTCTCCCCGTGTCTGCGTAGGTTTCCTCCGGGTGCTCCGGTTTCCCCTACCACTAAAAATATGTACAATAGGTCTGACATGTGCCTCCTGTACTGGCACCCCCACTCCCAAAAATAACAATTGTAAACCGCTTTGAGACTCCGATGTGCAGTGAAAAGGCGGTATATAAATAAAGATTACTTACTTACTTACTTACTTATTCAATCCTACAGTAGATGTGAAAAGAAAGTTTAGAGTATTGCGTATTTGACCAGGGACCCAGCAGCTGTAAGAGTGGTCAGCATGTGGTCTTTACTTTCCATTGCTGTGGTCTATAGGATACTTTTATTTGCAAAAACAGCTAAGTGCCATTAGTATTTGAAAGGCTTACAATTTGACCTTTACCAAATAGTTTTGTGAACTTTTCGGTCAGCGTGCGGTGCTCATAAAACACTGTCATGCAGAGTGATGCTGAAGTTGTGAGTTCGAGCTTCCCCTGGAGCATGGTTAGTTTTGTCATTGTCATTGTCTTCCCCTTTATCAAGCAATTTCTGGGTCGGGGGGTTGGCAATCAAAGCTGCCACCCAAGTCTCAAAGCACCAGTCCCGGTGAGTTTTGTAAATGTTTCTATTGAGATCAGCTGTAGTTTAGCACAATACAACATTTTTACCCCTTTTATTTTTTTTAAAACCCTATCAATTATACGGCCAATGACAAAACATGTTGAATGTTGTAACAAAAGAAATACAACTTTTCATACATTTTTCAAAAACGTTTTGCGACAGTAGCTCAGTGGGTAGAGCATTGGCCTTTGAGCCTCAAGGTTGTGGGTTCGAGCCCATCAAAAGACCATCTTCCCGGACTCCCACTGATCGACGTTGTTGTGTCCTTGGGCAAGACACTAAACCTTACTTTGCCTGAAGCCTCCCACTGAAAGATCAAGGCTATGCTCTCCGACATATTGCCACCCCCCTGACCCAGAGATGGACTAAGGGGAAGAAGATGGATGGATGAGTTTTGCGAACACACTTTTTTCAAATAAAAAAGTAGATCAATTATGGAGGCATGTTTTCTCCCCTGCTGATCATGTCCAATCACAAATACATCCATTCAACTGTTTCTGATCGGAATCTTTTGTGGCGCAACAAATACATCTAAATGGACAGAATGCACAAAAAGCAGTGAGAAAAGGAACATGTAATTTTACGACAGAAAAGTCCAGAGGGAATATTACCCTTGTCCCGCACAAAGTTAGGGTTGACAAGCATTGTGGATGTTCAATGTTACCGAGCCCCAGGAGAGCCATTTCCACTGGGCACAAAATTCCTCACACCAATTCGTCAGGGGAAGTGTCACCGAACAGACACAGGCAATACCTTACTAATTTATTCTTCAATTTAATTTCCCTACGGTTCCTTAAAGGCCCGAGGAGATAAAGTCAGTCCATTGTACATGTATTAAATAATTCAATTGGCTAATGAAGTCTCCGCCAGGATGACATTTACCTGCACTCCGCTTGAATGATCCATACATTTATAGGCACCGTTTGGGAGTTTGCTGTGGTTCCGTTCGGGTTTTGTCTGCACAGAAGTCCCGCCTTACAGCAGGTCAGATAGGAGTTGGAATATGACAGGATAGCCTCTGGGCACTGGTCCTGCTGGATGTGCCGAGAATATACCATCGTGCAACCACTGACAAGGTAAAAGGTAGAGTTCCCTCGCTGGGTACTAGATTTACACTGACTTTTAAAGTGCATGGACAGATAGCCTTATTCCCACTGCTACAATATAAGAATTTCAACCAAAAGCCCTGGACCCTTTTTCACAAAATGCTTTTAAAGCCCGTTGCTTACATGTGGGTTGGATGACAGTGACCAAACTACACACAAGTCACACAACAGACGACATACTTTGAATCGTGACAGAGTAAAAAGCCGTGTAACAAGATTGAAGCTTCGTCAAAGTTTGGACTTTTGCGGACTCCTCTTTCCTTCGTAAATGTGATATATGTAAAAAAAAAAATATGTTGGGTTTATAAGTCCACTTGGATGATGAGCTTGCTGTGTCCAGCAAGATTTGAAAGACATAAGCTTGTTTTATTATTTTGCGATCTGCTCTCCCCTGTTATGAAAAGGCAACACAAGTCCAAACAACATGGCAACCTTTCCCTTTGATGCCCCAAGACGACACTGAATTTCTACACATGAGGAAAAACACAGGTCTACATTGGGGGGGGGGGAAGAATAAATGTTTTCTCCTGCAAGTTTCGAAGCCATTTTTACTCTCTGGCAGTTTTCACTTCAGAGGTATAGAGTCGGCTTTATTGTCTGTTCCGTCCTGTTTGCACCGTGATAGCACTTGTATCTATGTTTAGCAAAAGACAGGGATAAGAACATCAACATTATGATTTCTGCAGTCTGTTTGAAAGTTGTTGACCTCTCTTCACCTGGGGCACAAGCACATTACGAACACTAACAGCACAGACACAACGGACAAAAAAACATGTGCGTAGTTTGGACCATTTCTACACCTGTACCAACCCAAAATACTCTCTGTGGCCAAACAGCTGACTCATGAAAGACAAAAGAACAGACTTATTAATAAGTCTAGGTGCATTTGTATAGTGGAGAGCTCTATATATGTATGTATGGGTTCTACTGGAGTGGTCAGCCCTCTGCAACGTTTCACATTCACTAAAGACCTCCTGGATGGTTCACACGGCTTCAGTGCTTCTGGCTTTTTTTTTTATCATACCCTCTTCTTCAGTACACAGACAAGAACATGTGGCCTACTCCTCTTCACAAGCTCAATGGACAAGAATCAACACATCTAAAACCCATCAGAAATCCATTATCCACACCTTCTGCATGGCTCTGAAATAAGGCACGTCTGCTTGAGAACATGTTAGTTCTACGGCTGTATATGTCAAAAAAGCAATCCAGACTTTCATGACTGAAAAGTGATACTACAGACTGTAAACTCTAAGTGGGTGGGCTTTATACATTCTGTGGCTAATGGATGTGTGCAGCCCATTGACATGCAGCTTTCCTTCAGGTTTCTTTATTCTCCCATGGATAATGGAGCAGTTCTTTTATAAGATGAAGGTATATCTAAGAAAAGATGTACTAGAACAGTTTGCTTATGCATTTTCCTGTTTTGGTCGATATACCTATCTTTATTGACAAGCTACCGTTTCATTGATTGACCTTTAAGGCCAATGTCGTAGAAGAAAACCTTGGTATTGATAATATTATGAATATTAGTTATGGACAACAAATTAATATATAGATGTCTTACATGCCATATATTTACATCAATGTATTATCACATGCATTTGTTTTATATATTATATTATTGGTAATATTGAGGCCAATTTGTCACATTGTGACCCTTTTGGTTGTAAAAAATTGATATTTCTGCATGTGTTTTAAAAAAAATTGTAATATATAAAATGTGCAACAAGTGGTCTAATCAATACACTATAAAATATAATTACAATCCAACTTTCATTGACACTTTTTTGTATCTGTTTTCATTTACAGTTTTTCTCTATTGCTACAACACAAAATCCAGTACTCTAAACCAAATGACCAATTGCCTAAACACATTTATTAAAACTTCCACCCACTTCTCACAACCATAAACACAATTCTCCTGTAGACACTGTTCACAAAACACATGCCCTTTTTCTCAAAACTCTAAAAACATTTTTCTTTTGCTAAAACACATTTTTCCTTTGCTAAAATACTTTTTGCATGTATCTCTGCTCCTATAATCATTGTGAGGCTCATGTGATGAAAAATGTCTCCCACTGTCAGAAAAACCTGAACACAATGAACATACCTGGTGTCATTCAGTAAACACAACCATCAGAACTGAAAACACCTGTTGCAAATGATGTGACCACAACTTTATAAGTCAGTGCAGTTTGATGAAGGTTCAAAACAAAAATGGATAATCAATGCAGAAGAAGAGGAGTTCGTGTCAGAGGAGGGAGAGGAGCAGGCCGAGGAGAGAGAGGAGCAGGTCAAAGAGGGAGAGGAGCAGGCAGAGGAGGGAGAGGAGCAGGCCGAGGAGAGAGAGGAGCAGGCAGAGGAGGGAGGGGAGCAGGACGAGGAGGGAGAGGAGCCGGCCGAGGAAGGAGAGGAGCAGGCCGAGGAGGGAGAGGAGCAGGCCGAGGAGGGAGAGGAGCAGGCCGAGGAGAGAGAGGAGCAGGCCGAGGAGGGAGAGGAGCAGGCCGAGGAGAGAGAGGAGCAAGCCGAGGAGGGAGAGGAGCCGGCCGAGGAGGGAGAGGAGCAGGCCGAGGAGAGAGAGGAGCAGGCCGAGGAGGGAGAGGAGCAGGCCGAGGAGAGAGAGGAGCAGGTCAAAGAGGGAGAGGAGCAGGCAGAGGAGGGAGAGGAGCAAGCCGAGGAGGGAGAGGAGCCGGCCGAGGAGGGAGAGGAGCAGGCCGAGGAGGGAGAGGAGCAGGCCGAGGAGGGAGAGCAGCAGGCCGAGGAGGGAGAGGAGCAGGCCGAGGAGGGAGAGGAGCAGGCCGAGGAGGGAGAGGAGCAGGCCGAGGAGAAAGAGGAGCAGGCCGAGGAGGGAGAGGAGCAGGCCGAGGAGGGAGAGGAGCAAGCCGAGGAGGGAGAGGAGCAGGCCGAGGAGGGAGAGGAGCAGGCCGAGGAGGGAGAGGAGCAGGCCGAGGAGGGAGAGGAGCAAGCCGAGGAGGGAGAGGAGCAGGCCGAGGAGAAAGAGGAGCAGGCCGAGGAGGGAGAGGAGCAGGCCGAGGAGGGAGAGCAGCAGGCCGAGGAGGGAGAGGAGCAGGCCGAGGAGGGAGAGGAGCAGGCCGAGGAGGGAGAGGAGCAAGCCGAGGAGGGAGAGGAGCAGGCCGAGGAGGGAGAGAAGGAGGGCGGGCAAGACAACGCATTGCCATTACAGATGAACTAAGAGCAACAGTCATTGTCCACGTCATGACTATTGTGTCTAATGGATCCTCTATAGAATTTACAGTACTCATGTTTGCATTGAGTTTTGATATAACTGCATTTTCTGCGTTATGTAACTATTCCCATGATACGCATAAATCTATAGTAAATGCCCAAAACATATTTGAGAATTAAAAAAGTGTTGCTCAAATGCATCCTGGCAGTTGTGAAACTGTAAAAAAGAACAGTCTCACATTCTGAAAATTGTGTTTTCAATTGTTTTGGTGATGTGGTTAATGATGCTCATAGTGTTCACATTTTTGCAGACCATGAGAGGTGTTTTGGTGTTATGGGTTGGTTTTGAGAATATGAGAAACTGTTTTGGTGTGATGGGTTGGTTTTGAAAAGAGACTGTGTTGTTGTGTGTACGTAGCTTTAGAAAAGAGGTTTGTGTTTAGAGTTTTGAGAAAAGGGAGGGCAGTATCGTGAAATGTGTTTAAGCAATAAAGAAAAACTGTAAACAAACGTGTTGCGTTATTTTTTGTTTGTGAATTGCAAAGGTTGTGAGACCTACTTCACGACTCCCACTTTGCCTGACACCCCCGCTGACCGGACTCGTGGTGAGTCCAGTCAGGAGGATCAGTGACCGGCCCGAAAAATGGATTAGGGGGAAGAAAATGGATGGATGGATGGATTTGCATTATCACATAAAACAAATGAGAGACACATTCTGCTTTCTGATTTGTTAATCTGTCCATCATGTCCATTGTATTTTTAATCAAGAATAACTCCACTTTAAACTCTTATGCAGAAAAGGCCAAAGATGTTGATACTATCTGGGGACATAAACAATAGGGGACGTTAGTGGCTTTGGACCTGAAGGTTGTGGGTTAGAGCCTTACTTTTAGAGCCCTACTTTATGACTCGCACTGATGTCTACTGTCATTGTGTCCTTGGGCAAGACACTTAACCCCACTTTACCAGAAGCCCCCACTGAAAGCTCAGACCAACCACCTGCAGGAGGATCAGTGAGGGGCTGGTGTTTTGTGTACTGGGTGAAGCTCTGACTGCCACCCCCTGACCCAGAAATGGATGAAGGGGAATAAAATTGATGGATGGATGGAAATATAAAAGATACAGATACATAATTATTATAAGCTAATTAGACTTTTTTTCATTACTTTCATCCAAAATGAATGATCTATTAGCTGAGATTTTATGACGCCACCTTTTTTAATTCCCTGTTTTATGCACCGTCTGAACCCAACCCACATCAATTCCTATGACAACAATACAATACATCCTCCTCTTCATCTTTGTCAATGCACAGCGTGAGAGAAACAAAAGACTCAGCGCTAGTTTACGACCACACAGTATATTTTAAAGAAGTAACTTTGCCAAATGAGAATCTGTTGTGTATCTTGTGCTGAGTGGGACTCCAAATTACAGCTGTAAATTCCACTGTGCTGCTCCACGCCTGATTACCTTCTCCTCCTCTCCTCTGCACCTCCTCTCTTTCTGTCAACTTCACTTTGTTTTCCTCCGCCCGCTAAGGCTCTTCTCCAATGGCTCTCTCTATTAGCACTGTCCGCACTAATGCCTTTTTCATTTGCGTTGCCGTGTAGAATAAAAACAATCTCTGCACAATCGTTACCTGCCCGTTTGGAAATGACAGCAGCATATTCTAACTGAGGCGAGATTGGGCCACTGTGTTGCAAATCAGGGGGTCATTAAGGATGCCTCTTTGTTTCTGCAGAACGGTGAATTAAAAATGTCGGAACTGACTGTTTTTATTATCTGACGCATCGTTTACAGAGGTACATCGTTTCGCGCAAGGTTTTTTGTTCTGAAAATAACCTGCAATAAGCAAAATAGCAGCTAAGTAGCAGCAAAGTATTAAAAGGTTGTAAAAAAACCTCACACTTTATACACTTTTCTAGCCAATCAATCAATCAATCAAGTTTATTTATAAAGCACAATTCATGCAGTGCAGCCCAAAGTGCTTCACAAGAACACAAGATCATACACATTTACAAACATTTTAAAACACATAAAACGTAATATAAAATAATAACAAAAACAATAATAATTGTTGCATAAAAATAAACATTTCAAACTGAATTTCAGAATTAAAAACGGTATAAAAAGCTCAATATATAAAAGTCAGTCATATACACAGCTAAAAAGAACGGTTTTCAGCTTAGACTTAAATAATGCTAAAGATGAGGCCTCCCGTACATCCTCAGGAAGGCTGTTCCAGATTTTTGGGGCATACACCTGAAATGCAGCCTCTCCATGCCTAGTCCGGACTCTGGGCACCATCGGGCAGTACCAGAAATACCCACCCACTTTTCCAGTCTCTCCAAGAGGATTTCATGATCAACCGTATCAAAGGCCGCACTCAAATCTAATAGAACTAACACTGAAGTGTTCCCAGCATCAGTGTTCAGTCGAATATCATTAGTCACCTTTATTAGTGCAGTCTCAGTGCTATGGGACGGTCTAAATCCAGACTGATGCACATTGAATATGTTGTTGACTAACAAAAAATCCATGAGTTGTTGATGAACAACTTTTTCAAGTATCTTTCCCAGAAATGGCAGATTTGAAATTGGTCGATAATTTTGCAGTACTGTGGCATCAAGACTGCTTTTCTTTATAAGAGGCCTGATGACTGCGACTTTAAGAGCCCTTGGGAAAATTCCTGATTGAAGGGATAAATTGATTATTTCAGTGAGGACTGAGAGAAAACTGCCTACCACTAACTTAAAAAACCTAGTGGGCAAAACATCAAGGCTACAAGTTGACGTGCTCATGCTGGAAACTATATTCTGGACTGTATTGTTGTTGACAGTAAGGAAATTAGGGAAATCATACTCTCGAGTTGGATTTAAGATTTCTGTTTGTGGGACAGGAGTGATTGTGTTTTTTATTCTCTGTACCTTTTCATTGAAAAAATAAGCAAACTCGTAGCAGCTGTATTAAACCCTAGTGGCAACTGAGAAGGTGGATTTGTTAATCTATTTACTGTTGCGAACAGGACACGAGAGTTATTTACATTACTAGCTATAATTTCAGAAAAATGCCTTTCCCTCGTTCTACAGTACATAACATGTCATTGTAGCATTTTAGTTTTGTCTTATAGATCTCATGGTGATCTTGGAGCTTGGACTTGCGCCACCTGCGCTCAGCCCTCCGGCACTGTCTTTTTTGTTCCCTAACAGCAATTTCATTCCTCCATGGTGCTTTTGGTTTGCTGGTAACCAACTTAGTCGTCATGGGAGCAATGGTTTCGATCACAGATAAAACACTCCGACTAAAGTTGTTAAACAAATCCTCAACATTGGAACACTCCGTAATATCAAAATGTAACATTTCTATGAACTGTGGACCAGTGCTTTCATTTATATGTCTTCTACGAACTATAGCAGGACCTTCTGGTGGCTTAGGCAGAAAAGACAGGTCAAAGAAAACACAGAAGTGATCGGACAGACATATATCAACAACGCGCACATTTGACACATTAACCCCTCTTGTGATAAAAGGTCTAAGATATGTCCTTTGCTGTGAGTAGGATCACGCACATGCTGAAATAGACCAAAGGTTTCCAATAAAGAGTTGAGCTCTTTGGTATCTTTATTACCAACAACATCCATATGGATATTTAAATCACCTGTAATGACAATGGCATCAAAATCTACGCAAATAACTGACAACATCTCAGTAAAATCATCTATAAAATTTGGGCTATGCTGGGGGGGTCTATATACGATTAGGAAGAGTATGGGAGGAGATTTTGTTTGTTGGTACAAAAAACGTGTTTAAAAAGAGCACACACGCCTCCACCTTTACGATTTTCTCGTGCCTCAAATTCAAATTTAAAATTAGGTGGGGCAGATTCTATTAAAACAGTATTAGCGTTCTTTTTATCGAGCCATACTTCTGTTAAAAACAGAACTTCAACTGATATATCAAACCTGTTGGTTGTGGGTCTTAGCGCTGCTGCAGCTGTCAAAAGCCGTGCATAATTTTGCAGAGGAAGGACCTCACACTATGGGGCAGGAGCAGGACTCAGGGCTATGGGAAGACTGCAGTAATACTCTGAACTAATCACGGTGGTGCGCAAAAGCCACTAAAGTACTTCGTCTGACTTTCAATAAAGGAAACTGTCATGTTTTGCTTGCAGTTATTTGAAGTTGTATACGAAGTTGTTGGTATATGGTGGAGTACACAGGCAGCGAAGTAGAAACATACTGCTCATAAAAGGGTGAAACAGAGGGGCCGTGAAAGGTGCACCAAAATATAGTTAAGGACCACTGTACTGGTTTTGCACTGGTCCAGACCAGAGTGAATCCACTGGAGGAAGGCTAACTTTTATGTATAATGCTAACAAAGCCTTTAGCATTTTATTTTGGATTAGAGCAGAGAGAATGGTCTGAACCAAGCGGCTCCATCTCTGCTCCTGTGACCTGTCCTGCTGTTTCTTATTATTACTATCACTATTGTTAGCTTTTTAGAATGATCTATTTTTTGTTTGGTTTGTGTGGATGGATGTGTTTTTGCTGCTACTGGAGACCTACATTTCTCTTACGGGGATCAATGAAGTGTCTGTCTGTCTGTCCTTTTGTTATAATTAACTACAAATGCAGATCATTATAATCTAATTTGATATTGAATTTCTCACAGTATATCTAAACGAACAAAGAAATAATTGACATACATTTCACAACTGGCCACTTTAATAATCATACCTGCAAAATTCCTGCACCACAATCATCCGTGTGATTTGTGATCATGTGGAAAAGGGGACATGTGATGCAGGTTATGCAAAGATGTTTTAGTTGTTTTTCCCGTTCCTGTCACTCACTCAGAGTTGTTTTTAGAGCGGTTCATGCATATTTGAGAGAAGGAGTTTTCAGAGGGTTAAGATTTGGTCACTGTGGCCTTGCAGATTGTCTCCATTCATTGAGAAACAACAAGAGCGGACTTTGGTAAATCCGAAGATGTACCACATTTTGTCAC